ATTTATCCCATTCTTTGAGCAGACCTGCTTAGAAGTAGCTCTACCATTGCCCAGTGGTGTGAGTTGGAAGTGGAAGGAGAGAGCATGAGTATCACATCATTCTGTACTTGTACATGATAGTACATGATCACATCTACCTTGCAGAATTGATCTGCAAGGCCTTGTGCTATAAACAAGGCCTCTGGACTTAAAGATACTTGGTTATAATGACATAGCTCTAGCATGGTGAAGGGGCTCCAAACTCAGCTCTGTTAGCCTCTATCTTTAGTCCAAATAGCAGAGAATCATAGGTAGTTTGTAAAAAATAGGAATTTTTCTTCTTAGAATTCTAGAGGCTGGCAAGTCCAAGATAAAAGTACCAATAGGTTCAGTGTCTGGTGAAGGCTTGGTCTCCAATATGAAAACAGCCATTTATAAACTCACTAATCATATACACGAGGGTAGAAGCCTCATGGCTGGAGCTCATCTCCTAAATTGGAAGTCAAACTTCAACATACAAAGTGTGTATGTGTGGGCTGGGAAGGTGGCTCAGTGGGAGAGCGCTTGCCTTGCATGCCTGAGGCCCTGGGTTCGATTCCTCAGCACCACATAAGCAAAAAGTAAAAAGCCGGAAGTGGCGCTGTGGCTCCAGTGGTAGAGCGCTAGCCTTGAGCTGAAGAGCTGAGGGACAGCGCCCACGCCCAGAGTGCAGGCCCCACCACCGGACCAAAAAAAAAAAAAACATTGTGTGTGTGTGTGTGTGTGTGTGTGTGTGCGCGCGCGCACGCGCCAGTTCTTGCTTGAACTCAGGTCCCTCCTCCCCCACTCTCACTTGACTTTTTTTTTTTTTCAAGGCTAGTGATCTACTACTTAAGCCACACCTCCACTTCTTGGCTTTTTGATTGGAGATGAGTCTCATAGGCTAGCATTGAACTACAATCCTACAAGTGCCCAGCTTTCAATATAGCAATTTTGCAGGAGATGCAAACACACAAAGTACATCAGCTTCTAAAACTGCCTTCAAATGACATAGAGCTATTGTTTTTTTTCTTTATATGTCTGGCACTTGTACTATTCTAATCTTATATTGTATGATGATACATTGCATCATTATTCTATTTTGCAGATGACCAAACTGAGGCTCAGAGACTAAATAACCCAAGGACATGAGGAACAGCAAAGCCAGTGACTGGGTCCAATTCTAGCTCTCCATGCTCCCCTGTGCCATGGTGGGCTCCTGGGGTCAAATTTTCTAATAACCTGAGTATGAGGAGGGATTACCAGAGGGGAGATTTTAATACTTAGTCTCCTTTTTCATTACTGCTGTCAGGATAACAGAATTCTGGACATGGAGAGATACTTCCCCCCCATGACCTGCTAAGGACATGTCCCAGATCTTTTAATATTGGAAGACACAAGTAAGACAGCTGGGACAGAAATCTGTGTCTCAGACTCCTGGCTATAGTGAGTACAGGTCTCAATAGCCTTCCTCCTGTCTCTGAAATGGAAGGAGACAAGCTACAGAAAGAGTGAATTTCCAAAAAAAAAAAAAAAAGAAAATCTTCTGTGAGATAAGAGTTGGGTGTAACACTCAAGCAACCTTCCATAACCAATGCTCCATCTTTCTTATGATTATTTCTTTTTGTTAGATTTCTCTTTGGGAAGAATATCTTTTTATCTCGGCTTATATCTGCATCATATATTGAAATGAGATTAAGATTATCATTTTTAAAAAAGCATTAAGTTTTGTAGCATGCTATTGTAAAAAAAAAGTGTTGGGAGGGACTGGGAAGGTGGCTCAGTGGTACAGCGCTTGCCTTGCATGCATGAGGCCCTGGGTTTGATTCCTCAGCACCACATAAGCAAAAAGAAAAAAGCCGGAAGTGGCACTGTGGCTCAGGTGGTAGAGCGCAAGCCTTGAGCTGAAGAGCTGAGAGACAGCGCCCAGGCCCAGAGTTCAGGCCCCACAACCAGACCCCCCCCAAAAAAGTGTTGGGAGTAAGGCTTATAGTCATGTAATAGATGACTTGAAAAAGGCTTATGTTTCCAGCAATATACATATTTGTGCATACACACCTACCTACGTACACACATATGCATGCATCTGCAGAGGGGGACACATTCTAAATTACACTCCAGAATCTGAATCATTTGCCTTGAATTCCTTCAAGTTCCAAGTCTGCTTTACCAACAGACTTCCACATGGGAATTAGTGAGATGTAGCCAGGGCCTCACCATTGCTTGGCCCCTAGATTCTAGCCTGTTAGGGCAAGCAATTAAAAGACAGAAGTTGGAGGTGATTGTAGGAAGGCTAGATTCTTTTAGCCCAAGTGTCCAGTGGCAGGTATCCCAGAACTTTTAGCTCAGCAATTGTCTCTCAGGAAACTGTCCTCAGGTTACTTTAATATAGACTGCAAATGACATGAATCAGGTGGGCAAGAATTGCATTGATAATAAAGCAGTTATGATTACAATATGCTTAAGAAATGCACACCAGCACATTTTCCTATAGGACTCTGGTCTCTTCTTCGATACTTGCTTTACCCACCTGGGTTTTAGCAACAACTGATGTGGAATGTTCAAGCAGCAGGGTACATCACCAGCTCCTGGAGCTGTGCTGATTCTCTTGCATCCTCTGAGGCCCGTGGCCCTCTGGCTGGGGCTGCCTTGGGGCCTTCCTCAGGAGAAGCTACTTGAGGGGCTTGTGGCAGCCATAGCCAGGAGCAGCCAGGACTGCATTCCATCCTCTAGTGGCTCTGTTCTTCTCCATTTTGAGAAATGGGAGGCCACCTGAGCAGGTGGCATCTTAACAAAGTGAAGGTTTGAGGTTAAAAGTATTCTACATTTCCTTGACCCTCTCTGTCTTCTAGGTCTGCCACTGACATCATGGAAGGGCAATACTTTACTTTCTAATAGGCTCTGCTATTCCTGCTTGGGCTGACCCTGAAGACCAGATGTTTTTGCCCTGGAGCCTGTGCTGGAAGGACTCATAGAGACAATAAGGGGCTCAGGTAGGTTGCAGTCCTGGGCCTTGCTCTCAAAGTAAGGTTGGAAGAATCTCAAGGTACAAGTTGCTTCTCATTTCACAGAATGGGCTTTGAGAGCCTGCCCTTTGTACCAGGGGCAGTATAACTTGGTTTAGGGACTTCTTATCCATGCAAAGAAAATATACCAGGGGCTGGGGATTTAGCCCAGCGGAAGGGCGTCTACCCGGCGCACGCAAGGCCCTGGGTTCAGTCCTCAGCCCTGCGGGGGGGGAGGGGAAGCAAAGAAAATATACCTATCTCCTAGATTTCTTGTGGGGTCAAGACAGATAATTTAGACATTGTACCAGGAAAAATTATCAGGTGTCAATATCATGCTAGTATTTTTTATTCTCTCCATTACCTTTTCATTCTGGTACCTGATCGGTTTCCCCATAGATAATTTCCCCCACAAAGCTAGGAATTCTTGGAGGTTGGACACAGCACTAAATTCATCTTGGCTTTTTTCCCCCCTCAGAATCCAGGTTGGTCCTGGCATGTACCAGCAAGATGAGATTTCAAACTGAGTGCAGTTGTGCAATCTGTTAGTGGCTGTTAGTAGCTGACTCTCCTTGAAGTCAGCTGTATGCATTTATGTGCATACACATCTACCTATGTACACCTATATGCATGCATCTGCAGAGGGGGAATGTATTCTAAATTACCCTCAGGAATCTAGATCATTCGCCTTAAATTCCTTCAAGTTCCAAGTCTGCTTTACCAACAGACTCCTGCTCCCCCCGCCCCACTCCCCAATCTGGCATGTCTGGGATGGATATATAGTGCCTGAAACTCATTTGTTTCACAGAAGCACACAAGCCACGGGGACATTTCTGGGGCTTTTATTTTTATTGTGTGTGTGTGTGTGTGTGTGTGTGTTTAAAGCCAGTGAGGATAGGAAAATGCTTGGTCCCTTTGGGGTTGCACTCCTTTCTGGCTAACCCCACCCACCTCCCGAACCCTCCCGTCCCACCCACCAGTAGCTCAACATCACCTGGGGTGAAAGTCACCAGTCAGGCCCAGGAAGAAGGGTGCTGGGTACCCAGCCTGCCCTGGGGTCAGTTCTTATGGCTCCTTCCCCTTCTTTACTGCCTGGTACACCTGTTGGAGGAGCAGAGGGGTTTGAGACCCTTCCTAGCCCTTTCTTCCTTCCTGGCCAAGATGTACCTGAGTTCTGGGATGTCCAGGAGGGCAGTTCTCAGGTGCTGTACAGGACTACAGATGAAGATTCTCTGCCTCCTTCCACCAGCATCTTTCCACGGAAGGAAAGATGCCTTGAGGGTAGAGTGGAGTTAGAAGGCAGGGAGGGCCTGGCAGCTCGGGGTCAGGATCCTCTAGTTGCTATGTTCAGAGTGTTTCTTCTTGGGTCCCCAGTCCCCTCCTGAGGCGCACCTCCTCCAGGTCTGGCCGCACTCCTGTGCATAGGTCTTAGGAATGCATCTTGTTGGGCACCTGTCAGCCAACTCTAACTTTTCTCCTGTGGTCACCCTGCTGTCCTGGCCCAGCACCGTGGTCTCCTGTCCCCGCAGCTGCCACCCTGGGGAGACCCCACAGCTGGATCACAACTGCAGGACTCCTGGCTTTACAGCCTTGTTATTTCAGTCTACCTGTGCACTTAGGAATCTGCAGAATTGGCAGGGTTAGGGCCATCAGAGGGGCAAGATGGCAGTAAGGAGTGCAAATCTTAGGAGACTTGTGTCTCTTTTAGCTAGATTGACCATTCCCTTCTTCCTCCCACTCTCACTCTTTTCCTCTTCCCCCTCTTCTCCCTTTCCTTGTCCTCTCTTCCCCTCTGTCTTCCCTCCCCCACCCCCACCCCCTCCTCGCGCCCTTCATCCAAGCCTCTGCCTCGGCCCCTCTGCGCTAGCTGAGTGGGGAAGGGGAGGGGACGGCTGCAGGCTGTGCCGGGACCTGGCTGTGCGGCGGGCGGCGGCGGGGCGCGGGGCTGGGGCGCGGGGCGCTGGGTTCAGGGTGCGGGCGCGGGGCACGGGGCGGGCGTCAGACGCTGTGAGCGCCCAGGCTGAGCACCGAGAAGGCGGCGCGGTGCTTGCGGAGCAGCAGGCGGATCTTCTCGTCGTCGGAGTCGGGGTCCAGAGGCTTGTTGTACTCGTCGTCCTCGTTCTCGGAAGCCGCGCGATCCGCGCCGGCTCCCGCGCCTCCCGGGGCCCGCGGCGTGGAGGAGGAAGGCTCCAGCGCGCTCTTCTTCCTCCACTTGGTCCTGCGGTTCTGGAACCACACCTGGGGAGGACAAGCAGGGGCGCGTCGGGAGGGAGGGAGCCTCCACTCCACGGCCGGCCCCGCCGCGACTCTCTGCAGGGGCGGCCTCCTCCTCGCGCCCCAGGGGGCGCCCCCCAGCGGCTGGCGCGCCTCGAGATGGAGTTGCGCTCCGGGGCCGCGTCCCACGGACCCGGCGCGTCCGGGGCTGGAGGCGTGGCCCCGCGCTAGGCCGCGCGCATCGCTTGCACGGGACTGCTACGAAAATAAGCACATGAGCGAAATAAACAGACACACGTCTCCCTTCTCCTTTAGCTTCACAGACTCACTGGCCGTTGCAAATGATCTCCCCTAACTAGAAAAGTGGCGTGCACCCTGCTCCAGCGGGTTCCAGGCTGCAGACTCCTCTGGCGGGAGCAAGCGCGCAGTGAGAGTCTGCTGGTGCTCCAGGAGTGAGGCGAAGGCTCAGCAAAGCCCAGACTTGGGGTCCCCACCTGTCCCTGCACCTCCGGGTACCAGTGGACAAGGCACTGAGTCGGCCTGGCCTGGCCCACGGCTTTCTTCTTTGAGAGTCCGGGAGGACTCTAGCGCCAAAGTTGGACAAGTGGCCCCCAGGAAGCGGCGGGGCTGAGGGGCATGTAGGAAAGGATTTCAGCTTCTCCCCACGCCCTGCAGTAGCTCTCATAACAGAGCTGCCGGCCCTCCCTGGGCTGTGCCACAGCCACCAGGCGCTCTACCAGGCCTAATACCACCCAACTTGCCAAAGATGAGTGGGGTGAGTGGTGGTGGTATCTTCTCTGTAAAGACTGCTGAATAGAAGCCAGCCCCTTTTACTGGCTAACGCACAAAGGGTGAAGCCATTTCTATTCTGGCCCCAAAGCTATTGAGGGCGCTTGGGATTGCTAGCAGAGATTGCAGAAGTGGACCAGCATCAAGTCTCAGTGTCTCAGTTTGAGGCCATGAGCAAGAAACTGGATTGAGGTTTATTTTCATCTGTAAAGCAGACCATTACAAAAATCTCAAAGTTGCCATGAGAGCCGAGTACTGGTGGCTCATACCTACACTTCTAGTTACTCAAAAGTCTGAGATCTGAGAATAACTGTTCAAAGCCAGCCTGGTCAGGAAAGTCCATGGTGTGTGTGTGTGTGTGTGTGTGTGTGTGTGTGTGTGTGTGTGTGTGTGTGTACAGGTCTTGGGGGCTTGAACTCAGGACCTGAATAGAACACTGTCTCTGAACTTCTTTTGCTCAAGGCTAGTACTAGCTCTACAACTTGGGCTATAGCTCCACTTCTACCTTTTTTTGGAAGTTTAGTGGAGGTAACACAATCACAGACTTTCCTGCCTGGGCTGGCTTCGAACCACAATTCTCAGATCTCAGCCTCCTGAGTAGTTAGGTTTACAGGTGTGAACCACTGGTGCCTGGCTTGCCTGCTCTCATTCAATCTCCCTCTCCCCCGCCCCCACCAAGGGCTTGAACTTGGGGTTTGGATGCTATCTCAGAGCTTTGTAATTCAAGTTTAGCACTTTACCACATGAGCCATAGCTCCACTTCTGGCTTTTTTTTTTTTTTTTTGGTCCAGTCGTGGCCTGAACTCTGGCCTGGGCGCTGTCCCTCAGCTCTTCAGCTCAAGACTAACGTTCTACAACTTGAGCCACAGCACCATTTCCAGCTTTTTTCCCCCTCCTTATGTGGTGCTGAGGAATCGAACCCAGGGCCTCATGCATGCAAGGCAAGCACTCTACCACTGAGCCACCTTCTCAGCCCTCTACTTCTGGCTTTTTGGTGGATAAGAGCCTCATGGACTTTACTGCCCAGGAGGACTTCAAGCTGCAACAATCAGATCTCTGCCTCCAGAGTAGCCAGGATTACACGTGTGAGCCATGGGCACCTGGATCTGTGACACTTTTTGTTTGTTTGTTTGGTTTTTGTCAGTCGTAGGTCTTGAACTCTAAGCCTGAACACTGTCCCTGCGCTCTTCAGCTCAAGGTGAGCGCTCTACCACTTGAGCCACAGCACCACTTCCAGTTTTCTAGTGTTTTTTATTGGAGATAAGAGTCCTACAGACTTTCCTGCCCAGGCTGGCTTTGAACCGTGATTGTCAGATCTCTGCCTCCTGAGTAGATAGGATTACAGGTGTGAGCAACTGGCGCCCGGCTGACACTTCTTTTTTTTCTTGCCAGTCCTGGGGCTTGAACTCTGGGCCTGGGTGCTGTTCCTGAGCACTTCAGCTCAAGGTGAGTGCTCTATCACTTGAGTCACAGTGCCACTTGCAGTTTTCTAGTGTTTGATGTACTTTCCTGCCTGGGGTTGATTTTGAACCACAATCCTCAGATCTCAGCTTTCTGAGTAGTTACGATTATAGACGTGAACCACCAGTGCCTGGCTTGTGACATTATCTATAAGTAACCACCAAACACCTAGAAGTGAAGGTGTAGTTCAAGTGGTAAAGCACCAACCTGCCTTGAGCAAAAAAACCTACGAAGCAATGCCTAGTCCCTGAGTTTAAGCCCTAGTACAAATACCCCAAAATAAAATAATAAAAAATTTAAAATAAAATAAAGAAGACTGCTATGAAGATTAAATTTGGCACATTATATAGCTTTCAGAGCGAGAGCTCATAGATGCCAGCGCTTGGGAGCTATTTCTAATTACTAACATCTCTGTGGTTGGATGGGCAAGCAGTGCCCCTCTGGGATGGGCTCCTTCTGAAGAGCTGCAAGTTTTGGGGAAAGTGTCCACATGCATCTAGTGGCCTCCTGTCCCCAGGGTGCCTTCTTCCATATACTCACCTTCACCTGCGACTCAGTCATGCCCAGTGAGTATGCCAGCCTGGCCCTTTCAGGGCCTGCCAAGTACTTGGTCTGCTCAAAGGTTTTCTCCAAGGCAAAGATCTGGTGCCCTGTGAAGGTGGGTCTAGTGTGCTTTTTCTTGTGGATGCTGTCACTCAGGGGGTCCGGGGCTGGTAGGAGGAAGGGAAGTGGGTTAGTAGGACATATGGAAACCTAACGATGTATACTGCCTAGAAGGTGCCAACCCAGCCCTGCCTCTCCCACAGGGTGGAAGCCTCTCTCACATAGCAACTGATGTTGCTAGGTATGATGACACCTGCGCCCTGAGCAGCATTCCTGACAACCAGGTTAACAGTTTGGTGCTAACCTCTGCCATGTCTGGGGAACAAGGCTCCAGGGTGGCTGCCCCATACTCCAGCTATTTAGGGACAGCAGGAATCTTATGCTTCTCTGCCAATGCTGCCTTCTAAGAGGAATGAGGTGTCTCCAGATACCAAGACAAAGCTGCTCCTTCACATCACCAAAATGGGTTGTCACACGCCAGCTGCAGTCAGAGCTCCTGGGGCCTACCAATTGCTCCCCACTTCCTTATTCCTAGGCCCCCTGTTTCCCAGGATGGGAAGGATAGAAAGCCTCCAGCCCCAAAGCACTACTTCTCCAGTCCTCAGGCCTTGAGGTCATAGGTTAGGATGGTGCTGGAGGGGTTGGGCACTAGGGCTGGGAAGCTCCAGCCAGGGAAGCCATCTCAGGAAGGACTTGGTTCCATGAGCACCGGACCAGTAAAATTCTCTATGTTGGGCCCTGATCAGAACAGTTCAGCCCAACATCCCACACCCTTGTCTCTCATCACAGGTAGGGATACTGAGGCACGGAAATAGGAAAGGAGGTCCTGATGTACCATTTTTAGTCCTGTTCCCTTTGCCTTAATCTGACAACCAAATCTTGCCTATTTTCTAGTAGGTGTGTGCATCCAGGACAAGGGTCCAGGGTTGAGATGGGGATTGGAGTATAGGAGAGACAGATTGAGGCTATGGCTTTCCCAAACCAGACCAGAATAGGTTAACTGATCTGCAGCACCTTCAAAATACTCCAGTTTTTCAGAAGGGGAAGGTGTCTGTTCAGCAGTGTAGGAGGTGAGAGGCAGGTGTGTTTGGGAGTCTCCATGATTGACTCAGAAACCCTACTGTAGTAGAGAGCCTAGGAGTCAGCCTCAAGTGAAGGCCCATCTGCCTACCTGGATCTGGCTAGGACCTCAGTGGTGCAGGAAAGGCTCCTAAAGCCTGTCATTGTCTCTCTGATGCCCAGGTGAATCTCCCTTGCCTATGCCTAATCTGGTCAGCTCCTCTATTCCCCTATTGGTGTTCTGGGTGCCTTATATCAGTTCTCTGAAAACTAAGGCTTGGGGTACCCTGAGGTCAGGCATGCTGTACAGGAGTTAGGGCCAAGTTCAGCTAGGCTCAGCTGCTGCTTCTGGTTGTTGCTACTGCGATGCCCACCGGAAGGGTGAGCAATAGCCCCTAGCTCACAGGTGGGGTTCAGTGGCCTAAAAGTGTGCTTGGTTTCTTTCAATGATGCCGGGCATGAATGGGCTCTTTGAGAATGTGACAGAGCAGCCAAGTTTTCCTCCCTGCAGGCAGCAGGTACCTGCTTTGGGGTCAATATGGTATAGCAGAGACTCTGAGCAGGAGGAAGAAGGGAGCTAGCAGGACACTGCACAGCTTGGGCTGGGCTACGTGGCTTCCTCTGGGCCTAGAACACTCAGGGTTCTGAAGAGGCCAGTGAGATGACTTGGCTGAGATGAGGGGCAGATAGCTGTGCTAAGCAAAGAGGGGGCAGAGGGGATGGGGTGGCCTTCAGGCCTGCCCTGAGCTGAGGAGATGGATGTAAAGTCTGGGCCCCTGTCTCGTGGTGCCCGGCTATTAGAGGCCCTGCCTGCCTTCTGCCTCTTTCCACCAGCCAGTCAGGCTGGTGGTGGAGGCTCCCCGTACTCACTGTTGCTGCATGGCCGCCCTCCTCGCCAGTCCTGGCCTGTGTCCGCCCAGCAGTTCCGGCTCCGGGTGGGGTACTCATTCCCAGCCTTGGAAAAATTCCCCACCTGGGGGCCATAGTAGACCCCCTGAGAGCTGAGCCCCCCAAAGCTGGCCACATGGGGGTAGCTGGAGAGAAGACCACTGTTCGGCGTGGCTACAGGCCTGCTCAGGATGTCTGTGATCCCGTGAGGGGTCCCCGCAGCCAGCTGGGGGCCCAGTCCTGGGGGGCTGAGCTTGTAGAAGGAGTTCTGCACCGAGTACTGGCACACAGGGGCCTTCATCTCTGAGAACTGGGCCAGCGGCGTGTTGTTCAACAGGAATGTCCCCTGCAGATTGGACTCCATGATCTCTAGGTCAGGAGTAGGACGGGAAGTCCAAGTGCAGGCTCCGAAGGCCTGGGAGCCTAGAGTGCAGCCCTGAATCGCATGGCAGGTGTGGAGGGTGGGAAGCAGCCCAAGCCTTTGACTGCCCTCCACCTAAAGCATCCGGCCCAGCCCTGGCCCAGGGACTGGCACCCACGTCAGCTTCTCGGAAGTCAGGTGCACAGGGCAGGGGGAAGGTCTCCACGCTTTCTTTTTCCAGCCTACCTTGACTGGAGAAGGCTGTTCCCCACGCTCAGCAAAGCCCCTTCCTCTGCCTCTGGGTCTGGAGACCCTCCATGAGAAGTTTTAAGTTCAGAGAAGGGACATTTCCCTGATAAAGATATGGCCCATTAGAATACAGACCACAGACTGGCTGAGCTATGAGAGCCGGGCTGCCATTGGTTGGAACCCACACGGGCCTCACATTGGCTTTTCCTAGACAAATTGCACTTTGAAAGATTGACTGTAAAATCAGCCAAGGTGTGTGTGTGTGTGTGTGTGTGTGTGTGTGAGAGAGAGAGAGAGAGAGAGAGAATTAGCTCTAGAAGCTCCGTTCATTGTCAGAGGCTTCTTCTGCTTTCCCCAAGTCCAGGTTCTAGGAAAAAGTGGGTGTCTGAAGCCTCTGGGGGGGCAACTGGAAATCACTGTCAATACAGCTGTTACTAAGGATGAACTGCAGAACTTAAGTCTCTGCTCGGAGCTGCTCCTGTTCCTTTCTGTGCTGATGCCCATGCTTTCTTTGCAGAACAGAGCTGCTTTCTCCTCTCCTTTCCTTGGTGCAAAAGCAGGGTAAGTAGGGAAGATGGGCAAGGGCTGGGTAGGATGTAAATCCCTGTGGCTCTTGTGAGAGCCTGATGGGTATATGGAGTCAGAGGGTGGGGAGTGGGCAGCTCTCAGTGTGGCAGGCATGTGTCTCTTCCTGCCCAATGAGGCAAAAAAGAGGGGTGGCTGTGCAGCCTCTCTACCTCTGGGCAGTCTTCCCTGGACCTCTCTGTGGACTCTGTCTGTCTGGGGTCTGGGTCTGGAATCAGATGCTGAGAGGTTCCCCTCTTTGGCCGTGGAGCCCTGTACTGGGCACTTGACTAGGGCTAGTAAATACTTGATACTTGAGCCAGACTTGAATTTCAAAGCACTCATCTAATATTTTATCGGATATTCTTTTTAAACAACATATGAGGGTCTTCTGAGGCAATCTCTTACTTAACAACAATCAGAAAAATGAGGTACAGAAGAACCACAGCCTACTTCCAGATGACTGGGGTCTTTTCTGTTTGGGGCAGTGCTCTATTTTTAAGGTTATTTTTTTGAAAATGGAATCCAGAATGCCACTTCTCTGAGCAAGATGACAGGAGAAAAAAAACCTGAGATTGCTGGACAGAGGTTAGCTCTGCCCCTCTGCTGCCTGGGACCCCCAGAAAACTTCCAGACTAGGCTCAGGGCTCTGTGGGGCTACCTTTCTCACAACATGTGGCTGCACTTTTGCAGGTGGAGACAACAAGCACCCCTTGCCAGCCTTCTTGTTTTCCTAGGGCTGGGAAGGTCCCTTCTTGTTCAGAACTAGTATGACTAGGGTCATACTCTGTGGGACACAGACCATTCAGGTTAGGGGAAAGAGGATTTAAGGATGTAGAGATGGTTTCTCTACAAGTTTAGATTAAGACCAAGAGGAAAGATTTTTACTCATCTAAGGAGGCTTTGCCAGATATCACAACTATTTTGGAAACTTAGTTGAATCCCAGGAATGCCTCCCAATCGCATCAAGGTAATTGTCATCCTGAAACTATTTTTAAGAGACTTCTGGGTAATGCAAATGCACAGCAATGATTGGTTCATTAGAGGTAGGGGACAGAAAGGAGATTTTTAGATTTCAAGAGAGTAGCTTGGGGTATGGTGGAGATGGAGTGTTCTGATGAGAGTTTATAGAGGGAAGTTGGCTGCAGGGGTCAGTTCTTATTTAATACTATGTTGACAAAAGTGTGGTGACTGGGAACCCAAACATGACAAAAGGAAAGGGCTTTTATTATTTAATGTTTTTGACAGATGAGGAAACGGGCCAGTGAGATACCCAGTGAGCACAAGGCTGTTTTCTTTCTATAGCAAGTTCTTGAATGTTTACTGGCACGTAGTGCAGGGCCAGATGTCTTCCCAGGGGAGTTGGACGGCTCTGGCAGTGCACGCCAACTGCAGGTTCCCGGTGACTTGAAGTGTGTTCTCCCGCCCACATGTCTCCCCATTCCAGGATAGCTTTTAGGCAGGTGAGAAATCTGCTCTGCCATCTCTTTGGGGGTTTCTTCCAGGGTGATGGTCCTAAGTGATTGCCCAGGGTTTCCTGGAGGAGCAGGACATTGGGGGACTCTTCAGGGAGGGGGGTACAAGCTTCCCCAGATCTGACCCATACCTGTAGCCAGGGTTCACTCAGCTCAAGCCCCCTCCCTCCCAAGACGATACAAAGAGAGACAGAGCCCCAGGTCATGTGTCAGTTTCTTTATTAATGTTGACATTTGTTCAGCTGGTGTAGGGAGAATGGTTTATACATCAGATGTGGGGGGACACTCTCTCCCAGTCACAGAGCATGTGAGAGAGTCAAGAAATGATTCATTTTTCATAACAATTAAAAAAATCAAGGTAATTTCAAAACTTCTAAAAAGCGTCTAAATGTGCAGACTGCAGCATTCTCTAGGCATCAAGTGGAGACCCCAACCTCCTCCTAAACAGCTCCTACTAGCAACGGGAGCGTGCAGCCACGCCGCGCGGCCGTGGGCCAGGCTTCAGCCCGGGCGGCGGCGGCCAAGCAGCCATGCCGGAAGGAGCGAAGGTGCCAAAGCATAGCCTGGGGCCGGGCCCGAGGCCGGCCGCTAAGAGGGGCTACTGGGTCGGCGGCAGCGCGGCCTGGGAGGAAGGTGCAGGACGAGGCGGGCCGGCGGGCTCGGTGCCCGGCTTCGCCCTGGCCGGGCGGCTCCGCAGCCACGCTGCCGCCCCTCCCGCGGCGCCGAAGGGCCGGGCCCGGGGCCACGGCCGCGTCCCAGCAGGCCCGGCTCGTGCGTGCGTGGAGCAGGCCAGGCGGCAGAGGCCGAATTGCCTGCTTGGAGGCAGCCGCGGCGAGGGGCGGGGCCGGGACACGGTGGGCCCGGTTCGGTTCACAAAACAAAACAAACCCCGCCTGCGCGGTGCCCAGCGCGCTCGCGCGGCCTGGACGGCGGAGCCTGGCCGCCCGGCTACGCCGGAGACCTCCGGGCTGGCCTCCTGGCCCGGGGGTCGCCGGCGTCAAGGGCGCTTCTGTGCTACTTGGAAGTTTAGATGTGTCCAGAGGACACCTCCGAAGAGCGGCGGGAGGAGGGAGTGGACGTCCGTCCGTCCGTCCCCCGGCTCCGCGAGCGGGAAATGCCTGCCCGTCTCTCTCCTGGCCCTAGGGGGCGCCGCCCGAGCAGGGCGGGCCGGATTGTGCTGATTCGGGCCTCCCTCTGCCGGAGGCTCTAGAGTGACTTTAAGGCTCTTCCCTGATGGCACCCAGGCAAGGAGCTGTCAGATTCCTTCCGACTCTGATCCGGAGGAAGGAAGCCAGGCTCTCCTTCCTACTGGGTGCGGTCCGAGCTCCGCCCCGGCTGGGAGCCCAGGGCCTGCACCCAGACAACCACCCACCTCCCAGCCTGCAGGCCGCCTGGACTTCGAGCACCAAGTTGGCTCTGGGAGACCTTTGGGTGGTCCTGACCTGTAGAAACTGGCAGATTACATTCACTACTAGCCTACTTCCTTCCTTCCTGTCACTGAGAGACAGCCCTGGCTCCTTCTCCTGCAGAGGGAGAAGTCCTCAGGAGCTGAGCTTTAGTGCTTTGTACATACTGCTAAGTGTTTCTATTGGTTTGCATAGTATTTATTGTTTTCATATACACAAGGCTGATTACTGTACAGTTTACACTTTGAACACAGACTATGATAGAAGGGCTTGAAGATATGGAAAACCTCTTTCTCTATGGAACATGCTGGTGCAATCCTGGGACAGCCACTGGCCCTTCCCCAATGAAAAGACCATTCAGATGGGTCCCTGGCTCCCTTGAGCCCTACAGCTCAACCTGGGGGTTGAGATCCTCCTTCAGACTCTTAAGTCCCTAACACAAAGAGACCCAAGTGCACTCACAAGTGATGATTTCCTACTGGAAGATGATTACTACTGAATCTGGCGGAGAGACACAATATTAAAAAAAAAATCCATCTTATCCACTGGAGAATGGTGGACACAACTTCAGAGGTCACGGTCAAATCAGTGTGTAGGCTGGGGAGTGGAGTGTGCATCCTGAATGTCAGGTGGCATGCTCTGGGAGGAGCAGTCCACTCGGAAGGGGGTCAACTGTCACAAACAGAGCAGAGGAGTAGGGACAGGGGAGGTTGGAGACATGGGATTAAGGTGTTAAACTGACTTTATGCCTAGTTCTCATTCATTTTTCTTTCCAGGAAGCCCACATGGATTTCTTACAGATGAGGTTGAAAAAAAAAAAGTACCCTGTGAGAAGTCAAAAATCAAGACAATTAAAAAACAAAACCCAAACCACCCTCAGCCACAAGAGCCCTTATTCACATTTGCATCCATGCCCTCTCTGGCATTAGTTTTCCATCCCTTTCTCTCCTCTCCCCTCTTTTTGCTGCCTTTGTCTTGATTCCCGGCAGATCCACAGTCGCTAGAGGCAGGATTGAAGACTGCAGGTCATGCGTCTACAGTCAGTCATTCATGCGAATAGGAGGCTAAAGGAAGTCCCTTACAGAGGTCATGCCGTGAGCTGGAAAACATGTGCCATGTTCTGTAGCCCTCGTCCAGCTCTCCTCCTGTGTGCATGGCAGAGTATGTGGAATTCAGGGTTTGGGTGTTGAGGTGTGATCCTGAGGGCACAAAAAAAGAAGTCACTTAGAATTTACAAGTGCAACTTTAAACATGGATTTTGTGGTGGCTGCACAGGTGGAGTCTGGTGAAGAAATCAGGCTCCCAAGCA